TAATTGAACTGAATCACGCAGCAATCTAAATTTATATATTACCGTGAGATACATTAGCTAATATTAGACTCTTGACATTGTTGGCAGACTTAATAGACTTGATTCGCATTTCTTTTACTAATTTTTCTTCCAATAATTTCGTATAACTAATTACTATATTTATTAGATTTGATATTTGTTGAACTTCGGAATCAAGCCAAGTATAATTTGGTGGCCTATGTGCCTTTATCCATCCCCAATATTCACCATGAATCTTTATTCCTGCTGATAGGACAGAAATTTGTTTATCAATATCATCACAGTATATGTTAAGTGAAATTTCAACCTTAGCATAATCATGATTTAAAATCTTTTGCATATTAGATTCTTTAGTTTTAACCTTTGCCTGTTCCAATACCTTATTGCTTTATAAAAATTTATTTATTATTAGGAATTTAATAGTATAAATTATATTCTATAAAATATAGTATATTGAAAACTCTCTTTACCTTGTTGTTGCCGGACTTTCGAATAGAGCAATTATTTTATGCTTCTTAAGCTCTAAAGGTTCATATGAAATTACAAATACTCTATCGCATGGTAATATTTCATGAATATCTTCAGCAACTTTTGAAAGTGTTTCTTTTAAATCCAGTCCGGAGAGAATATTATTTGAAATTGAAATCAATAATTGTCTTATCTTTTCATGCTCATACTGCTGAAATATTAATTGATCACGAAGTTGAGAAAGCTTAATATTAGTGCGTATACGAGCAATTAGCTCCCGAGAACTAAATGGTTTCGATAAATAATCATTTGCACCATAGTCTAATCCTAAAAATGAGAGTGTTTAGTTTTAAATATTGTATAAATCATTTAATAAATAAATTTTCAATAAATAATACCATAATTTTCTTCAGCTCTTGCAGTTAACAATATAATTAGAAACAACTGCATTGCTATATTAGATCTTAACAATTTTAATAGTTCATATCCATTAATATTTGGCATCATGACATCTGTTAATTCGATTAATAAAGTTAATACATTCTTTATCGCATAGTTAAGAATAAAATAAAGATAATTACCACTAAGAATTAAATCTGGTAGTTTGGGCATCTTTGCTAAAATTGTTAAAGCATCACGACCATCATAAGCATGATTAATGTCAAATTCTTCTTTTAACAATTTCTCTAAATAATTTCTATAAATCAACAAATGATTAAAATAAATTTTTACCTTTATTATTTGATTTTAATGAATAAAAGTTTAATATCTCATGTCTACATTATCTTCAATGATCAAGATTTTATACTTAATAGCCTCAGAAACTATAGACTTATCTGCTAATATTTCATCAATATTAATATTATTATTATATCTCATTGCTATTGATTCCAGATTTAATATTTCTTTTTTTATTATAGGCCTATTATTTTGAATCCATTGCAGACTTTCTTCAGTACATAATTGTTTTTTTGTGTATCCTAATTGTTGATCTTTGATAGATTCATCATCTTTTATATTAATATAGACTTGATTCTTCGGTAAATGCTCAAACCCGGTTAGAAACTGACATTTAAATGTTGTTCCTTGACCTACTTTTGAGGTTACAGAAATTTCTCCACCGTGACATGTAACAAATTCTTTTACAAGCGCAAGACCAATTCCTGTACCTTCGTGACTACGTGTTTGTTGAGATTCTATGCGATAGAAGCGCTGGAATAAATTTCGAATGTCAGCTTCAGAAATCCCAATGCCTAAATTATGAAATAAAATTATATTTAATATAGAAATAAATAGAGTTATAATTTTAATGTAATATTAACCTGTATCCGATACTTCAAGAAATATTATGTTGCTCTTATCAGTGTGTTCAATATACAAACGAACATAAACATGTCCATTCCAAGTATTTTTGAATGCATTAGAACCTTTAAAGTGTAAATATGTTTAGTGTAAAGAAATCCGTTCATTTATATTCGTTAAAAAGTAAAAACTTATAAATACTTACAAAGGTTATAAACAATTGTTTCAAACATATCATGATCTAGATAAACTTTACTTCCTAACTTTTGATTAAATTCATCTGACTTTGGAATATCTATAATATAATTTAATCCTAACTTATTAGCCACATTAATAAAATTAGTAGCTAATTCTTGAGTAAATTTTGCAATGTCAGTTTCAAGGTAGCGTGCTTCTGATCGGCCACTTTCAATATTTGAAAACTGGAAACCATAAAAGATAACTTTATGAAATGTGCCATTTTAAATTTTTAAATAATTTAAATAATTATTAATAATACTAATACTGTACCTGGCGCAAGTTATTGACTAATTTAAGTAATCGACGAGTATTTCGTTGAACTATTTGAAGATGAGAGTGTATAGTTGATTCTGGCGTGCATGAACTGATGGTTTCATCAAGCGGCGAAAGCATTAATGTTAAAGGTGCTAGAAAAATATAAATTAGTAATATTTTACTAAAAGAATGTTATTAATACTGTAATATAAATATTATAGTAATTGATAAATACTATTTAACTCATGAGTAATGCTTTGAAAAAATGCAGCTTTTTGATGGTTTAATTCAGCCATCATTTCAATCTGTTTCTTTTCTTCTTCTCTTAATTTACCATGTGTTATTATCGAAATAACGTGATTTACAATGCACTAAAGAATTAATAATTTGTTAATGTTGATATATTGTAAATATAAATTAAAATTTTTATAAAATACGCGACACACTTGTAAAAAGTTCATATATTCATTATCGAGTTGACGATTTGGATTAATACCGCAGATAAATATAGCAGATAAAATTTGTCTATCGACATAAGTTTTAATTGGAAATAGTATTGCCTGAAATTCATCATCAAAAAGAACTTTTATATGTTTATCATCTTTCACTAAGAGATGAATTGGCCAAGATTTACATTTTAAAAATGAATTTGTTATCGTCCCACATTTTATTTCCTCGTATTCATCATAGCAATCAACAGTATTTTTACTTAAATCAATTATTTTAGGAGTTTTTAATAATTTATCGGGCATATGCTTCAAATTAAAAGTGGTGGCAGTTAGGAAAGCAGCATGAGGACGAAAGTCGGAATTAAATTTATCATTATCGATCAGATAAATTAATGCGAAAGGAATGTCATTATTGTTGTCACAAAATGAAGACATTATAACGTTACAAGCACCTTTTAAGGATTCTGCATCTTTAAAGGATAATATTATTTGATGTTAATATCATCATAATACGACAGGGTGAAACCCACGATAGAAATCCGCGAAAGTGTTGATGCAGATCACTATCTAAAATAGTGACTAACCTATCACTAACCCTAACTAAGTAAGATCTGCATCAACAACGTACGTACGTAACTATCTCTGTTGCGGGTTTCACCCTTTCATATCATAATTATTTACAGTAGATACAATTAATAATGAAAATTTACTAACCATTAATTCTATTTGCTAAATCACCAAGAACTTTTAGCCTTTGATTTGTAACAATTTTGCTAGTTGTATGTATATTGAAATTCATTATAGCAATAACAGATCTGTCTGTTTTAAAAATTGGAAACATTGCATAACTAATGTACGCTTCCCCAAATTCGTTGTCGTCATTTCTTGGAAAGTAGCGATCATTCTCAAAAAAGCCTTTTTTAGTTGATTTTATTCTTAAGTTTAGTTATAATATCATAAATAGTAAATTAGATAATTAAATTCTTGATAACTTATAGTAACTAAAATATTTATATGACATACTGATCATATTTTGATTTTATGAAGTCAAAAAATTTAGGATGAACTTCACGGAATGGTTTTCCAAATGCTATTTAAATATGACTATAGTTATATTCAGATCAATTTCACAATACGAATTCGTCGTATAATAATAACTAACCAGTTGGGTGTTTCGATTTTAATAATTTAGCGCCCGCTATAAATAATAAACTTACGTGTGTAAGATGTAATCAATAATAATAAGAAAAGTAGTAATTTGAATGTACTGTACGTACCTTGGTTATATATTAAAATAAGATCAGGGCCGCAGTAAATATGGACAGAAAACATCGAATTAAGGCAAGTATCCTTGTAAATTTATGTAACTTTCATCTTAGCATTTTAAAAATTAACAAATAAATAAATAAATAGAAATAGTAAATTACCACAGCAGTTCTAAATGAAGGTTCCCAAGAGTGCATAGGTCCGAGATAAGTTGATGACCAGTTATGACTATTCAAAAAGTCTTCAACTTTTATTTCATTGATGCTATATAGTATTGAATAAAGGTTGTGCCGTTTTATAAATTGATGCATTTAATTATCTGTTATCTTTTATATAATCTTCTCTGCATATAATATGGAGGGAGGATGGTGCTAAATTTAAACTTATCTTAATATGAAATTTTAAAATTTTTGGAGGTTAAGATTTAGAATTTGGGTTTATAATTAAAGAGTATACTGTACGTGCGTACGTAGAATCACTTATTTGCGCAGGTAATACAAACCTCCAAAAAGGAACTAGTATTTAAATCATCCTTTTGTGGACTAATAAAAAATAACGGGGATGAAATTTTACATAAAAGAAACTCCAACTTATCGCTAAAACTCACAATCCTAACATCCTAATCCTAAACTTCAATTTTTACGCACTTAGTTTATTCACAAAATTTTTCCTTTTTTGGTTTGTTACCCGCGCAAATAAGTAAATCTCGCCTTGCGAGGATAGTTCACCGATAATCATTATGTAATTTTAAGTAAGAAAATTATGCAAATTACGTATTATTTATATTAGAAAGGGTTTTACTAATTTCCCCCACACTTCACTATCGGACACAAAATTAATTAATGACATAGATACTCCAATATGCGAATAATTAATACAAATAAGAAGTGTGGGGGGATTATCAAACTCTATTATAAATTGTGCAGCAAAATAAAGTTTCAAATATAATATTATAGAATCTTGTAAACAACCAAGCAGCTGAATTTAATAAATAATTATGAGATGGTATGGGCGCCTTCATTTAGATTTATAAGAAAATCACGTTTTTGTAGATCGTAACAACTACGTATCGGTCATAAAATATGTGATATAAACAATTGTGCAATTCACGTGAATTTTAATTTTTCATTATGTAAAAATTGTGTCACGCCGGTACCATATACAGTACTAGATGATAAAGATTACCTATAACTTTTAGTTAGAATCATATATCTGGTTATTGCTTTATTTAATAAGCCAAAAAAATTAAGTTTCTATTGAAAAGCGCCCATATTTTACGCGGTACCAGGAACGGAGTTCTACGGAGGCAAAATGAAGAGGCAATTTTCGATGGTGTGCATCCGCGATTTCTCACATTTTCTTTTTTATGAGCAGTTGTAAAATTTAGCCTCAAACTTTTAACTTGATTTATGGTTGATTTTATTCCTATATTTGTTAATATTTTTCATTACGATGCCATTCAACTTTTTATTCGATTGCCACAAATATGGATAATATGTATATTTCCACATCGAAGAAATTTAATTTGATCAAGTAAATAACATTTTTTTTTTAAAATGATAATATGTACTTGGTTCATAACGATAAAATTAAATTTATTATCAGAAACCAGAAACGAATAATTAGTAGAGTAGTCAATTGACAACAAAAAAATACATGATGAAAGAAATTAAGCAAACTCAGGAATGTCATAAAAAATGAGAAAGATGAAATTAAATGGCAACAAATTGCAGTAAATATTTATTAACGTGAGGTCAGTGATACAAGCATAGGTTATGTTTATAAAGGATTCGGATTTAATAATGATAATGGGTTATTAAGAAATGTACTTATTTATTTAGTTATTTGGTCGGAGCAAAAAAGAATGATCGTTCTTTATTAGTTTAGTCGTTGTATTTATACTTTTCAAATTCTAGTGGTCCGAGACCAAAATCTTGGGTTTCAACCCGATATTGGTGGTCCTGGACCAAGATCTACGTCTAAGACTAATATGTAAGTTGTTATTTTGAATGCTTCAATTCTACCGTTTTTCACTATTATTGCTCGGTCAGATGACTTTATTAAATAAAAAATACATGTATGTTATCAACCATGACTCTATGTTAAAATGCTTGGGTATTTACTTCATCACTAGCGAATGCATACAGAAACTCCAGAAACTCCACGCTGTTATGAATAGGAGTTCCAGATGCACTTTACAAAAATACCACGTTTACTTCTTCGAATCTTACTGGTATCAACTTTGGATCAGAAGGAATAAAAGCATTAGCAGCTACGTTTTGCAAGGGCACCACAGTCTTCTTTAGGTTTCACTGCAATAATCTTAGCTCAGAAAAGAACATAATTCTGTCTTTTTTGAACTTTCTCAATAATAGTCATGAACAGAATAAAAAATATTAGCCGATACACATTGCATCAGAAAGAAAATTATTTATCAAATATACTGCACGGAGCACCACACTGATTTCTTTGAGCCTTCCTGGTGATAACTTTGAATCAGAAAGAAGAAAAGTATTAGCAGGTACGTTTTGCAAGAACACTGTGCTGTCTTTTTTACTATAGCTTGAATTAGAAGGAACTAGAATAGTATCAAAGACTACCAGAAATGGACAAAAGACCACTGGCAATGCACTAAAGGCCACTGATAATACACCAAAGACCACCGGAAATAGACTAAAGACCACTATAAATGTACTAAAGACTACTGGAGTAGCACCAAAGACCACCAAAATTTTCTGGTTTAAAATCCGAATAAGGCGTAGCCAGTAATAAAATTAGCTACTTTTGATAAATGCCTACCAGTAAGCGTTTATTTACTTTAAAAAATACATTAGGATCTATACGTCACTGAAACCTCTATTACTATATTATTATTTATTTATTAAACTAGGTTCACGGCATAATAATGGAATATTTATTTCATATACATTAGCTTTAGTGGATTTACATCTAGTTGCTAAATCAAAAAAAATTAATATATATTTTTTTTTATCTAAAAAATAATTTTAAAAGCAAAGTCTCTCCCACGGTTACAGTAGTATCTAGGGATGGGTTCGACTACGAACGGCTACGATTATTCATAGCCAATTTGCTAAATACTGAGATGATTTTTTGTTCTTGAGCTTTTAATTAAAGTTGTTTATAATTAAGTTCTGGTCATCACAAATTAGAACGATACTTTCACTGGAACTCGGAATTTTAAGATTTGTAACGTCATAGCCGGCTATGACGTTACAGCTGTTTTCATAAATTCTGGAAAATCTGGTAAAAATTGACCGACCGTATATTTGCCGATTCGATAAGTTTTGATTCATTACTTATTCTCAAAAATAAGTAGCAATCCAAAATGTCCATTCTGTTTTGGATTTTAAAGGCGGAAAATGAAATAGGTGTTATCTGGAAATAAAATTAGTAACTTTATTTTTTTTTGACAATGTATTGTTATCAAATGATATTATCGTAATAATTAATAATGAATATATACAAATTATCGTTTAAATTTTTTTAAATAATAATATTACATAATTATTTACGAATTAATAATATTTAATAAAATGATGGAATGAAATAGTGTTAGCACAAAAATTTGGCGGCCCGTGATTTTATTTAATCTGATTGTAAGATCAATGAGTAACATACAAATGCGAAGTAAAAAAATAAAGGCGAAAAAAAATCGGAAATCACGAAAAACTCAAATCCGCAAGGGAAATTGGTCTTTGTTATTATTTAAAAATTTTAGCACAAAAATTTAGATATATTCTTTCTACTTTGTATTATGATAATGCAACTAATTTTTAGAAGAAAATTAGGATATCATTGTTTTTGAATTAGTCACGGGACCGCCAAATTTGCATCACTCAAATAATATGCCACTCAAAAAAAAAAACTTTTAAACAGACAACTAAAGAAAAGAACTTGAGAAATTTCGGTTTAATTCAATTGTTTGCGATAGTTCCAACAGTTTATTCGAGAATATTAATTGTATTTTTATGAGTATTATTAGAATATTCTTCTATTAGTATTTATAACATACTAGTAACAAAGTCATAAAAGTAATAATTATTATTGTCATTGTATAAATAAGCTTACAAATCAATAAATACATCACTAATTTAATTCGAAATCAGAATCCTTAACGTTAATTCTGAATCGCCCTATTACTGTAATCACACCCGAATCAGAAGCTTATCACTGCGAAACAAAAACTTATCGAACCTCTGTCGGACAGTTTTTGACAAATTTTCCAGAATTTATGAAAACAGCTGTAGCAAATCTTAAAATTCCGAGTTCCAAAGAAGGTATCGTTCTACAGAATTTAATTCTGAACAACTTTAAGTTAGACAATAAGACAACATTGAATACGAATATCTTATTAGGGTCAGAAAAAAAAGTTCAATTTGAATCTGAATAACTTTCAATCGATGTTTAAAGAGTGATAAAGGTTGAGTATCTTTCGGAATTATTCAAGAAAAAGTCAACCCCGATCGGCCAGCCCCGATCCGAGATTTTTTCAACGGCCCATATTTTCATAACAATATCCAACTATATACATTCCATCTACATGATCCATATATGCGGATCTTTGATAATATTCGAATGCCTTCTTTATATCTTTTACAACTCCTATTCCATTTTCGTAGCAACGTCCAAGATTATATGCTGCATCAGCTTGTTCCATGTCTGCAGATTTTTGATAATATTTGATTGCCTCATTTATATTTTTTTCAACTCCTACTCCATTTTCATAGCAACGTCCAAGATTATATGTTCCAGTTGCATTTCCACTATAGTCATATTGATTATAATAAATGTATGCCTTGTGTTCATCTTTTTTAACTCCAATTCCTTTTATGTAACAATTTCCTACTTGACTTATTCCGTCAGTATGTCCCATATCTGCAGATATTTGATAATAAATGAATGCCTCGTATTCATTCTTTTCAGTCCCAATACCATTCTGGTAACAACGTCCAACATTATATATACCATCAGCAAATTTTCGATAATATTTAGAAGCTTTCTTTATATCTTTTTCAACTCCTATTCCATTTTCATAGAAACGTCCAAGATTATATATTCCATCTGTATATCCCATATCTGCAGATTTTTGATAACATTTAAATGCTTCATTTATATTTGTTTCTTCTCCTATTTCATTTTCATAACAACGTCCAAGATTATATGTTCCATCAGCTTGCTCCATATCTGTTGATTTTTGATAATATTCGAATGCCTTCCATATATCCTTTTCAGTTCCTATTCCATTTTCATAGCAACGTCCAAGATTATATATTCCATCTATATGTCCCATATCTGCAAATTTTTGATAACATTTAAATGCTTCATTTATATTTTTTTTTAACACCTATTCCATTTTCATAACAACGTCCAAGATTATATGTTCCATCAGCTTGTTCCATATCTGCAGATTTTTGATAATATTCGAATGCTTTTCTTTTATCTTTTTCAATTCCTATTCCATTTTCATAGCAACTTCCAAGATTATATGTCCCAATTGCATTTCCGTTACAGTCATATTTTTGATAATAAATGAATGCCTTGTGTTCATCTTTTTTAACTCCAATTCCCTTTATATAACAATTTCCTACTTGATTTATTCCATCAGCGTGCCCCATATCTGCAGATTTTTTATAATATTTAAATGCCTCATTTTCATTCTTTTCAGTCCCAATTCCATTCTGATAACACGTCCAATATTATATATTCCATCTATATATCTGCAGATTTTTTATAATATTCGAATGCTTTCTTTATATCTTTTTCAACACCTAATCCATTTTCGTAACAATGTCCTTCCCAAATATCATTATTTAATTTTAATTTCTTACAAATATCATTGCATTTATGTTTTGCCAAAAAACATTTTTGAATTCACTCTTTCCTAAGTTTGTTGTTCCAAATCTTAATAAATTAACACAATGTATAGCTGGATCCGTTAATAAGAACTCATTATCGAGTTCAACACCTTGTAAGTCATAAACTACCAAGTATCCTTCGGTGCGTTGATACGTGAAATGAGCAAATGCCTCGAGAATAGAATGAAATTCTGTAATTAGACCACTATTCACGTTAAATTTTTTATATTTTGCATTATCGATATAATTTTCTACAGTATAGTAAATTTTATCTGTCTTATCATATAAGACTTTTACATCAATAAATGTAACTTTTTTATTCACACCAACCTTTTGAGCAGCTATATTGAATATTGTTGAAAAAAAATAGGCAACATTAGTGATCTCTACTGATTCTAAAAATTTTTCTATTGTGCCTATTTTAATATCGTGATATTTTTTTACAACTAATTTATTAGCTCGTCCAAGGCTTGTATCAAGTGCGAAGTAAGCATATCGTTCAGCACCGATGGAGAATGGTTGTAGTGCAATTTTAAAAGATACACCTTTTCAGTAAAGCTTGAATTAATAAAATAATATTCATCTTTAACTTTAGCCAAAGTTTTTAGCAAAGCACAATATAAAAGTTTTTCTGTTTTCTCTGGAAGAGAAGTCCAATCAGGTTCATGTGGATTGATTTGAAGTTTCTTTCGTTGCAAAGAGTATATGCTTTTCGAGTTTCTTAATGTTGTGGTTAGTGTACTTTGCAGAAACCTTTGATTTTGCTAAATATATTTACTATATAATAAGAATATAATTAAAATATAATTAAAATAT